CGGCGGGGGGGGGGGGGGGGGGGGAGAGGAGCGGAGCGGAAGAGGCTTCGCACGCTCCCATGTCCCAGGCCAATCAGGGCCTGGGGGTTGGGGAGCTACGTGAAACTTCCTTCACCCTGCCCTGGCCCTGCGAGGAGACTGTGATATTTCAAAGTGCCATGTGCTCCTTGCAGGGTAGGAGGGGGCTTCAAGCGCTCCCCCGCCCCAGGCCAATTTTTTAAGTGGCCCCCGGGCAAAAACTATTGCCCAGCCCTGTTCTAGATGTTGCTGTGCATTTTGAGGGATTTTTGTTAAACTTCGTGAAACTTCCTTCACCCTGCCCTGGCCCTGCGAGGAGACTGTGATATTTCAAAGTGCCATGTGCTCCTTGCAGGGTAGGAGGGGGCTTCAAGCGCTCCCCCGCCCCAGGCCAATTTTTTAAGTGGCCCCCGGGCAAAAACTATTGCCCAGCCCTGTTCTAGATGTTGCTGTGCATTTTGAGGGATTTTTGTTAAACTTGTTTAGCATAATACAAAGCTGTTGCCATCTGTACGTTGATCCGTTTGCTGCAATGGGTGTGCACATGTAATTGTAAGCATCAACCACAATCAGCTTTGCTTTTGCTCTCACTACACTGAATCATTGGCTCTGTTTGAATCAATGCCTTGCTACTTGTAATATTTAGTGAAAGTTGTATGCTAAGTTTTGTATCAGTATATCTATGTGTGTGGTGGGGGAACGATGTGCAAACTACTAAAGACACAAAGGGGCAGCAGGGGTTCAATCACATAAATTGAATAACCACTGTCTTAACATTGTTCAGGCTGCAAAAACTGAAGAGAGATTGTAGGGTTCAATCAAATTCAAGCTACAATATATTTTCACTGATTTTTTTAAATACTTAAGAGCTGTTCAAATAAAAACAACAAAAGCTAAATTTACTTCCTAAATTATCTAATCATGGGCCCACTCCTGCAAGATGCCAATCTTCAACATTCATTAGATCTAAAGACTTGATGCTAGATAGCATTCTGCACCATCAGGCCCTCTAACCCTTTACTTACAAAGGGTATTTCTGAGTCTTCTGTTGACGGTGGCCACTGTAATATCAACCGGGGCGAAGTTCACTGTCAGTGGCACAAATCATATAAACAATCAAAAGACCAACTACTTTAGTATTTAAAATCTAAATCAAATGTTTGATTTGCCCATGCTGAAGCTCATTGTTAAAGCAGAATGAAAAACCGCAATCTTTTAAACTATGTTTCCATTAAATTGTCATGAAGAATGTCCCCTCATCAAAGAAGCTCAAAACAGAATTCTTAATCATAAGCACAAACTATGTTCAAAAATACAAGTCAGTTTACCTCAATTTTGAATTTCTGTACATTTGAAACAAGAATTAAAAAAAGAAATATTTATATTAGAGATCACCTTTAATCATTTTAATCCTCCCAACTTCCCTCTATTATAAGTAATTGGGGGGCTGCGCCCCCTCTCGCTGCGCTCGCCAACCCCCCTCTTGGCCGGGAAGGGCCTAGTCCTGAGGCCATCCTGGCCCTTTCCCACCAGTCACCAGGGAGGGCCCGACCCCGAGGCTGCCCCAGCCCCAGCTCTTCTCTCCTCCCCCCAGCCAGCCCCGGCCCTTCCCCTTTACCCCATCCCCTAGCTGGCTACAGCTCTCCCTTCCTTTGCCACCAGGCAGGGCTGAGCCGTGGCATGCCAATCCCAGCTCTCCCTTCGGCTCCCGGTCAGGCTCAGATGGCAGAGGGGACCCAGCCCCCGCAGCTTCTCACCACAGGTACAGCTGGAGCAGCCCATATGGAGCAGCTGGCCCCACCCAGCAAGCAGCTGAGGGTGGAGTGAGAGGCGGGCCTGTGGGACACAAAGTGACATGATGATGTCACTCCGTAGTCCTGCAGGAAAAATGTTTTTATATAGAGAGATATCACAATAATACAGATAGGCGAAGGTAAAACATGCCGATAAACCAAAGGGTTGGGAACCTTAGGCCTGGGGGCCGAATGCAGCCCCTGGGTTCCCTGGATGTCCCCCAAGGCTCAGAATTCCCCCCAACATTGGGAGCCTGGGCTGGTGCTCCAGCCCCCTCCCCTCACTGCCCACCATGGGGCTTCAGCACAAAAAAATCTACTAGCCTGGCCCCCTCATAGGCTCTGGTGTGTGAGGGGAATGTGGGGAGTGTGTTTCTGCTTCTCAGCAGGGGGCCATGTCAATGAAGGTTTGGCGGTGGGGTGGGTTTTTTTTTTTGGTTGGTTGGTTGGTTGGTTGGTTGGTTGGTTGGTTGGTTGGTTGGTTGGTTGGTTGGTTGGTTGGTTGTTTTTTGCTTCTCAACTGATTTTTCTGTGGGTCAGCGGCCCTTGACACAAAAAAAGTTCCCCAGCCCCGTTATAAACAGAATCCGTGACAAAGCTGAGAATAGGAATCTGAATCCCTCATTTCCAAGACTATACCTAGCCCACATCTTAATGGCATATAAAATAAAGATATCAAATATTCTCTTATAAATAGCAATGTTTCTTCTTTTCTCAACTTTCACAACTACCAATTTGAACATACAGGGCATATTTTATTACCTTAACTCATTTGAAAGAGGCACATTTGGTATTTATCCCTTTGCTTTATACAGTAAACACTTTCCACACAAAGGTGGTAAACCATAGCCACACCACAGATTTCCATTACTTTTGCTCAACAGATAATTCCTCCTCTTGGGTTTCTGTACTGGATATTAAACAAGTTTTGGGAAGGGGGTGGAGGGAGGACGGAATGGCAAAAGTAGCCTGTCACATTTTCTTGCTGGCCTCTTCACAAAAAAGGTTACCCACAGAATGAATCAACAAGGTCCTGCAGT